ACTCACTCTCTCACTCACTCACTCTCTCACTCACTCACTCTCTCACTCACTCACTCTCTCACTCACTCACTCTCTCACTCACTCACTCTCTCACTCACTCACTCTCTCACTCACTCACTCTCTCACTCACTCACTCTCTCACTCACTCACTCTCTCACTCACTCACTCTCTCACTCACTCACTCTCTCACTCACTCACTCTCTCACTCACTCACTCTCTCACTCACTCACTCTCTCACTCACTCACTCTCTCACTCACTCACTCTCTCACTCACTCACTCTCTCACTCACTCACTCTCTCACTCACTCACTCTCTCACTCACTCACTCTCTCACTCACTCACTCTCTCACTCACTCACTCTCTCACTCACTCACTCTCTCACTCACTCACTCTCTCACTCACTCACTCTCTCACTCACTCACTCTCTCACTCACTCACTCTCTCACTCACTCACTCTCTCACTCACTCACTCTCTCACTCACTCACTCTCTCACTCACTCACTCTCTCACTCACTCACTCTCTCACTCACTCACTCTCTCACTCACTCACTCTCTCACTCACTCACTCTCTCACTCACTCACTCTCTCACTCACTCACTCTCTCACTCACTCACTCTCTCACTCACTCACTCTCTCACTCACTCACTCTCTCACTCACTCACTCTCTCACTCACTCACTCTCTCACTCACTCACTCTCTCACTCACTCACTCTCTCACTCACTCACTCTCTCACTCACTCACTCTCTCACTCACTCACTCTCTCACTCACTCACTCTCTCACTCACTCACTCTCTCACTCACTCACTCTCTCACTCACTCACTCTCTCACTCACTCACTCTCTCACTCACTCACTCTCTCACTCACTCACTCTCTCACTCACTCACTCTCTCACTCACTCACTCTCTCACTCACTCACTCTCTCACTCACTCACTCTCTCACTCACTCACTCTCTCACTCACTCACTCTCTCACTCACTCACTCTCTCACTCACTCACTCTCTCACTCACTCACTCTCTCACTCACTCACTCTCTCACTCACTCACTCTCTCACTCACTCACTCTCTCACTCACTCACTCTCTCACTCACTCACTCTCTCACTCACTCACTCTCTCACTCACTCACTCTCTCACTCACTCACTCTCTCACTCACTCACTCTCTCACTCACTCACTCTCTCACTCACTCACTCTCTCACTCACTCACTCTCTCACTCACTCACTCTCTCACTCACTCACTCTCTCACTCACTCACTCTCTCACTCACTCACTCTCTCACTCACTCACTCTCTCACTCACTCACTCTCTCACTCACTCACTCTCTCACTCACTCACTCTCTCACTCACTCACTCTCTCACTCACTCACTCTCTCACTCACTCACTCTCTCACTCACTCACTCTCTCACTCACTCACTCTCTCACTCACTCACTCTCTCACTCACTCACTCTCTCACTCACTCACTCTCTCACTCACTCACTCTCTCACTCACTCACTCTCTCACTCACTCACTCTCTCACTCACTCACTCTCTCACTCACTCACTCTCTCACTCACTCACTCTCTCACTCACTCACTCTCTCACTCACTCACTCTCTCACTCACTCACTCTCTCACTCACTCACTCTCTCACTCACTCACTCTCTCACTCACTCACTCTCTCACTCACTCACTCTCTCACTCACTCACTCTCTCACTCACTCACTCTCTCACTCACTCACTCTCTCACTCACTCACTCTCTCACTCACTCACTCTCTCACTCACTCACTCTCTCACTCACTCACTCTCTCACTCACTCACTCTCTCACTCACTCACTCTCTCACTCACTCACTCTCTCACTCACTCACTCTCTCACTCACTCACTCTCTCACTCACTCACTCTCTCACTCACTCACTCTCTCACTCACTCACTCTCTCACTCACTCACTCTCTCACTCACTCACTCTCTCACTCACTCACTCTCTCACTCACTCACTCTCTCACTCACTCACTCTCTCACTCACTCACTCTCTCACTCACTCACTCTCTCACTCACTCACTCTCTCACTCACTCACTCTCTCACTCACTCACTCTCTCACTCACTCACTCTCTCACTCACTCACTCTCTCACTCACTCACTCTCTCACTCACTCACTCTCTCACTCACTCACTCTCTCACTCACTCACTCTCTCACTCACTCACTCTCTCACTCACTCACTCTCTCACTCACTCACTCTCTCACTCACTCACTCTCTCACTCACTCACTCTCTCACTCACTCACTCTCTCACTCACTCACTCTCTCACTCACTCACTCTCTCACTCACTCACTCTCTCACTCACTCACTCTCTCACTCACTCACTCTCTCACTCACTCACTCTCTCACTCACTCACTCTCTCACTCACTCACTCTCTCACTCACTCACTCTCTCACTCACTCACTCTCTCACTCACTCACTCACACACACACACACACACACACACTGATTCTACTGTATCAGGACGGACTGACAGATTGACGGCAGTATAATGATTCACTCCAGTGAGTACCAGAACATTTCACATCATAATGACTGATGCTCTGAAACTGTGTGTGTTTGTGTCCTGTTTATCTGTATCGTGCTTTTGCATCTCCATTCAGCAGCAGCTTTACACGTGTGTGTGTGTGTGTGTGTGTGTGTGTGTGTGTGAGTGTGTGTGTGTGTGTCAGGGACAGTGTTAGCAGTGTGTTAACAGGAGGACTGATATATGAGCACATCTCCATTCACTCAGCAGCTCTGTGAATCTTCTGAGAAAGAGTTTTTTGTCAGTGTTGTTTGCATGTGTGAGTAAACGATGACGGGATGTTTATTTTGGGTGAACCGTCCCTTTAACACACCTAGACTAATGTGAACGTGCATGAGCTGCTGATCTGTTCTGTTTTATATGTCTGACTGATTTATTAATGAAGGTTATTATAGCACTCGACTGCTTTTCATTTGTAGTTTTGCCCCCGTCGCAGTTATTTTTGGGTTCTTTGTGTTGAATGTTGGAAAGAGAAATTTCCCCGAAGCAGTGAGAGTGAGTGAAGTGTTGGTGTGGGAGTGAACTCTCTGTGTAAAGCAGGACTAAAGATCAGCACACTCCTCCAGCTGACTGATTACACGGAGAATTACAAACTGTTTTTGTATTACACGTTTTCTAAAATGTAACATTTAAACGTGCAAATGATGCAATGTCTAATGAGATATGCACTGATTATCATATATTTCCAGAATATAAATCTGAACATTGGATAAAGTCAGGCTCAGAATTCTAGTTTGATTTTGTCGTCATTTTAAAGTTAAAGGTGTTTCCAGAGGGGATTCTGGATTTCTCTTTTTATCACTTCATAAATCAGAAAATACTGTCAACAGACAGAAAACAGACACATTTTCACCATGTTTTCAGGAGTAAAATATATAAAAAAATAAAGACTTCAAAGTGTATTTTTCAATGTTTTCTATCCTCTAATCTGAAAAACGACTTTCAAAAGCCAAAAAGCCCAAAATCGCAAAACTGACCAGTGCATGAAAAACAATGTTTTCCATCCAAACATTCCTAAAATCAGAAAAGTAGGTACAAAAGCTGTCATCCTTTCAAAAAGTGCACCTTATTTAACCCAAAAGGGAGCATTTTAGTACCTTAAAGCTACATATTTGTACCTAAAGTGTACATATCAGTTTATTTAGACAGAGAACCACAGCAGTGAGAGCTTTCTGTCTGAGAGAGTAGTCACTGTATGAGTGCGTGTGAGGTTTGTGAGTGTGTTCTCTGCTGTTTGCTGGTCCGAGGCTCGCTGATCAATCTCTTCAGGAAGCGTGTGGTTTGTGCAGCTGGTCATTGTGCAGATGAAGCCACTTCACACCCTTGTTCTAGAGAAACATTCAGCTCTCACAAGATGCTGAAGATCTTGCGTTTCTGTGATGAATTTGCATGTTTTATGTGGCGATGTTTTAGGATTTGGTAACACGTTTGCCGTTGCTTTGACTTTGGCTAAAGAGGATTCTGTAAAGTCTAGTTTAGTTTTGGATGTTGTTACATGATTGATCCTACGCTAATGTTCTGTCAGTGCTTCTGAATCCTGTAGGCTACGGTATGAATTACATGAAAGCAATGATGTTAAACTACAAAATACAGCCGAGACGAGTGAAAAGCCGAAGTAAAGATTCAGAGGATCCTCTGAAGCAGGTGTTTTGGTGGTTTGTCCATCTGTGTTTCTGCAGCTCATCATCTGTGTCTCTCTCCTGCAGATCAGTCCATTCACTCCATCTTCTGCTGCTGCTGCTGTGCTCTACAGACCAGGTACGATGCGCTGTGATGTGTGAAGCGGTCGAAAACCGGTCCGCATGTATGGAACCAGAGGTCAAAGGTCAAAACACCATTAGAATTAAACAGTCGCTGGAACAGCTGATCATGTTCCTTCATATGTCCTTCGCACGCTTTGTTTTCCTGCCTGTCTGAAATACAGTTTTTACAATCTCTAGGACACATTTCTTAATACTTAGGTCACTTTTTCTAAACTCTTCACACGGCGAGCACAGCATCAGTCTCTGTGGATAAACTGTGGATCATTTATCATTGCTTTGGCGCAAAATGCATTCATTGACGACATCTGTCAAATTACATGAACTCTTTTCTCACTTTGACACAAACACCACCAAAACTCTATGTACTAACTACACAAGCCAATTTGCACATGTTTACGCACTGTTTTCAAAACTGTTAAACGTACAGTAAGTTCAACACCTTGCACAGTACAAAAATGAATAAGACATAAATTAAGCCCCTAGCCGAGCCGTGATCTCTGTGTCTCTCAGAAGCAGCACTCATGTGGATGTGAACCCCAGCAGATATCCGGGATCCGTCTACACGGTATACAGTCATCTGTTCGTTCATTCAGTGATTCACTTGTTGATTCTGTGCTCCTGTAATGGTTCTCTCCTCACGTCTCAGACTCAGCTGTCCCAGAAGAAGCTTCCTCCGTCTCCTCCTGAGGATGATGATAGCGGCGGTGCTGATGTCTGCAATTCTCTCTCTCAGGAACAAGGGCTTCATTCCCAGTAACTATGTTACAGAAATTGGAACTATAGAAGCCAATGAGTCAGTATCGACCAATCAGAGTCACTCCGGATCTCTTTGATTTTCTCCAGATTTGCATCAGTTCATTCAGAGTTCACTGGTCACTGACAGTGTTTTTGTGTGTGTGTGTGTGTGTGTGTGTGTGTGTGTGTGTGTGTGTGTGTGTGTGTGTGTGTGGTGTGTG